ATATTGCTCCAAATAATCAATTTCTGAGAGTTTTCAAGTGATGATATAATCATCTCCATCTGAAAGAAACATAAAATATAAAATATTCTATTTACTGGCACATATATAGCTCAAGAGGGCTAGAATGTACAGCTTAAACATTAAAGTTTCTGTGTGTGGGTTAGATTATTCTTTTGAGGAGAATTGTCAGTGGCGGATGTTGATTTGTTAGAACTGTAAAGTTTGTGAGCATAAACCCAGTGCTTAGGAAAAAAAACCTTCTGATAAATTGCAGAAATATGTTGAGACATCCTAGTGAAAAATGGCTGTACCTGGTCAGCCAGTACAGTACCCACTCACTTGATTGTTGTCTTCAGACAAGTGCCCAGGGAAGTGTCATTACTCCAGAATACTGTCACAGTCAATAGAGGTTCAGGGACTTTGTGAGCCAGAAGTTTTATCATTTTAAACTCTTTTTTTGGTTTTTTTTTCTTTTTTTTTCTTTTTTTTTTTTCTCTTGTGATTCAGTCCAGTTGCTTTTGAACAAACATAATTTTCAAGATCCAAAATGTCCTAAAATGATGATCTCCATGGTTTAAATAATTCATTTGTTTTCAGATGTCACCTGCTTGTTTCCCTTGATGCCCCTAATTTTTTGCAGAGACGATGAAAAATGTTCTTAGAAATTTCTGTCATATTCCATTGTCTTTTTCAGAGTAAAGTTACAAATTTACTTTAAGGGTTGCACAGCGAGATACCCCTCACTACCTATGGCCATCTCTCATATCCTACCTCACACCTGTGGCAGTCCTACCACATTTTGCACACAGTGTTTGAGGTGTAGGTGTATTTATGTGGCAACATAGTGATGCTTTCTTGCTTGATTTTTATTCTCTCCATAGCAATTCCTAATGCTATGAGGCTTTTTTGGTCTCTGGCAAGATTAGTGGCACGCAGCAGAGCACAGCACAGCCACAACATCAGAAATTCAAAGGTCTGTTGCTCCTTACCAGCAGATCAGGTACTATGAAAACAGTGTGACTTACCTTTTTAAGGTAACTAAGCCTCATAACCCCTGCCTGGTGAGCACTGGTGTGAGAGCTAGTTCTGAGTAAGGTATTTTGAGTACTGGAAACTTGGTGCTCTTAGAGAACAGAGCAATTGACGTGTGTGGGTGTTGCATGTTATCATTTCATTACTCTAGATGCCTCTTTGCTTTCATTGCACTAGGAAATGTGGATTCTTCAGGTGTTACCTGACAGCTCCCTGGCACTGATGTTTCCCCTTATTGGAAAACTTGGGGAAAGCAAAGCTCTTTTGGAAAGGCAAAAGTTACTGGAAATAATGTTACAGAAAATGAGCTGGAATACATAGAGCTGGAACTTTGGAAAGGTTTCTTGAACCTGGCCAGTCTGTAGAAAGAGAGTCACAGTGAATGTAAAATATGTAGGTACTGAACTGGGCTGAAGAAGCTGGAGACTTTGCTTGCACTAAGTGAGGATGAGGATAATTGATTTGTCTGGAAGGTTAAATCACTTAAGAGCATCCAATCTCTCTTTGAGCTGAAGATAATACAGCATTTTAAGTAGGTCACTGGGACAGGTAGTGCCAAATAACTGTGTCAGTTTCCTTGAAATGGCTGACCACAAAGCAGCGAAAAACTCAAATTACTTTCTTTATATGTCTGTATGTGGTTAAACCTTTTCTCAATTCCTTTGGCCATTACCATGTCAGAAGTCAGAAGGCACTGTGAACCTTTGGTGCTAAAGAGGGATCCGAAATTTGTTGAAAGTCCTGAGCAGACCCTAATGGCCTCTGGCTGCTTTAGATTGTTAAGAAAATCACTGTTGGGTGAAAGTCAATTGGCAAGGAATGAGTTTTATTATATTTTCCACTTTTTCCTTACCTAAACATTGCTGCTCTTAAATCTTAATGGAAGCAGGACTGCTGTGTTGAACTGCCCTTTTACAGTAGTCACTTTTGCAATAACCATTTTCACACTGAGTGAAAAAGTTGTATCTTTGCTAGATAAAACTCAGACTCAGGAAAGTCTGTTCCCATTTGATAATCTATCACTTGCAAATTATGTACTTATTACATACATCACATTCACATGGGACCTGGGAGGATTGTGAAAGGCACAGAACATAGATGCTGAAAACTTAAAAAAGAAATCTTCTCTGGCTAAAAATCATAAAATTATAGAATGGTTTGGGTAGGAAGGGACCATCTTGTTCCACCCCCCTGCCATGGGCAGGGACATCTTCCACTAGACCAGCTTGCTCAGAGCCCCATCCAACCTCTCCTTGAACACTTCCAGAGATGAGGCATCCACAGTTTCTCTGGGCAACCTGCTACAGTGCCTTTCCACCCTCACAGGGAAGAATTTCTTCTTAACATCGAATCTAGACCTATTCTCTTTTAGTTTGAATAATTTCCCCTTGTTCTGTCATACATGCTCTTGCATAGTCTACCTCCATCTTTCTTGTAGGCTCCCTTCACATACTTGAAAATTTACTAATGTATAAATGCTTATATTTAAAAAAAAATAGCTGGGTTTGGTTCATAATTTTACAATTTTAGAAAATGTGGAAGTGGTGGCAAATTAGGGACTGTTGGAAAGGATCAAGAGATATGGTTATGAGGAAACAAATGGAGCACAATTTTCAAATTAAGTTTATTGGATTTTTGTGAAATATGTAGTCAAGCCTCCTTCTGCTCCTTACATAAAGGGTTTGTAACTAGAGCAGCTTGATTTGTGTTGGATGCAAAATAGCATTTGTTTCTTCTGGCTCTGAAATATAGTTGGAAGGAGGCTGACCAGCCACTCTATGCAGCAAGGGCGCCTGACAGATTAGGCTCCAAAAGACAGCATCCATTTAAATCTGCTGAGGACAGTCAGGAACTGAGGAGGGAGAGTAACTACTCAGCAGAAACACAAGCTAAGGCCATCATGGGCTACATCGAAGTTACTACCAATTATTTCCAAAGTTGAGAATACATTTAAAATAAGGAAAGATCGTTGTGTCTTACAAAGTCCAGTGACTCTGAAGTGAGTGCAGAGAAGGGCAGTGGAACTAGTGAAGGGTCTGGAGCACATATCCTATGAAGAGCCATTGAGGAAGACAAGGTTGTTTACCCAGGAGGAAAGGGAGACTCAAGGGCGACATTTTCAGCTTCTACAACTGCCTGAAAGGAGGGTGTAGCCGGGTGGGTGTCAGGCCCTTCTCCCAGGCAGCTGAAGATAGGACAAGAGCACACAGCCTTAAGCTCTACCGGGGAAGTTTAGGCTTGTTTTAGGTAAAAATTGGCCCAGCTGAATTAAAAATAAAAAACCAACTTTATTATAGTGAAAAGAAAAGGACAGTGCTGAGCCCAGGATAGGCGCTGGGTGGGTCACAGGTTTGACCGCTCCGGCAGAGGGTCTCTTATGCTACACTCCACCCTCCCAGTACAAGCGACTCTTAGGGGGATTATTTTGCTGGAGGCCGGGATTTCGAGCAGCCTTTTCTTTCCATTCAAAGTCCCACATATTCATAAAGTCTCTTTTTTTTTCTGTGTTGAGCTAAATAATTCAGTGACCAGGAAACCTGGGTTCTCCTGATGTACTTATGGGAATACGGTATTCAGATGTATCACCCTGGAGGGTTCCAGTGATTCCAATCTTGGGTCTTGCCGGGACGATCAGTGCTCGGGAGCTCCTGGATCACTTTGAGAAACGACCCATCTCCGGAAGGACTATGTGTATTAACTTGTAAATGAGGTTTTATCGGGGACCAGTTTTGATATATGTGAGACAACCCCCAGTGCCGACTTGTGCATTTTCTTAATAATATCAAATATTACATACATATCACTCTACCGGCACGAATTATCTTTATTACATATAACAGGCTGGACATTAGGTAAAATTTCTTCACAGAAAGGGAGATTAGACATTGGGATGGGCTGCTCAGGGAGGTGGTGGAGTCACCATCCCTGGAGGTGTGCAAGGAAAGACTTGACGTGGCACTCGGCGTCGTGCGTCTGTTTACACGGTGGCATTCGGTCACGGCTTGGACTCGATGACCTCAGAGGGATTTTCCAACCTGATCCGATTCTGTGACTCGGTGACTCGCGTGGGTTCGTGTTTTAGTTAGGACAAGCGTTTGACACGGAAAGGCGGCAGCCCTGCGGCGCGGCCGCTCCGAGCGCTCCCGGCGTGGATCAGGGCCGGGGCGGGCCCGGGGCGGGGCCGGGCCGGGGCGGGGCCGGGGCGGGGCGGGGCGGGCCGGGGCGGGGCGGGGCGGGGCGGGGCGGGGGCGGGGCGGGGCGGGGCGGGGCCGGGGCGGGCCGGGGCGGGGCGGGCCGGGGCAAGGCCGGGGCGGGCCGGGCAGGGCCCGGGGCGGGGCCGGGGCGGGCCGGGGCGCGCCGGGGCGCGCCGCAGTTGGCTGTGGCCGGCACGTGGTGGGGCGGGCCGCGGGCTCCGGGAAGGGACGCGGCGCCGCGGGTGAGGTTCCGCTCGGGTAAGGGGCGGGCGGTGTTCCCCCGGTGTTTCCGTGCTGCTGCTGTGGCGCTCCGTTTGCAGCCGCTTTCCCAGGCGGGCGCCGCCGTGCTCTGGGCCCGCGCTGCCGCCGAGGCGAGGGAGGCTCCGGGCGGGTGCGGGAGGCGGCGCGGCCCGGCCCGGGGTCCGTGCGAGCGCTCGGTGCCGCCGCGGTGCGGGGTTGTTGGTGCGCGGCGGGCTCGGAGCACTGGCGGGCGGCGGCCGCCCCTGAGGCCGGGCGGGCGGCCCCGGTGTGCTGTGAGCGCCCGGAGGCGCTGGGGCGGCCGCGCTGGGCCCCGCAGGTGCGGCGGGATGGGGAGAGGGATCCGAGAGCTTCCCGGAGTTGGTGAGGATGTGCCGAGGAGGCGCAGCCCAGGTGTGGCCGGGCTCCATCCCGTGGTGCCCCGTAGCAGGACGGGGGCCGTGGGTGCAGAGTGAAACGCGCGGGGCTCTGAAGCCATCAGAAGCTCTCGCTGTGGAGTGAAGGCGGCCGAGCACCGGCTCAGCTGGGCCAGAGAGGCTGTGGAGTCTCCATCCTTGGAAACATACACAAGATACCTTGACATGGGCCTGGGGAACTGGCTTCAGGTGGCCCAGCTTTAGCAGGAGGTTGGTCCAAATGAGCTCCAAAAGCCCCTTCCGACCTCAGCTGTTCCATGATAAAGCGCTTTCGAGTCAGTGACACTGTAGCACATAGTAAATAACTATTGCTATTCAAAAAAGAACTTGCTATTTGTAACATGCATAATAGCAGAGCTGTTCAGTTTGCTGCACAGTTTGTACTTGACATTTATACAAGCTGAATGAGTTTTGAACAGCAAAACTGAGCAAGGGAAGTTTTGTGCCATTAATTCCTTCCTTCTGTATGATGCTTCCAAATGGTGATCCAGAGTCATGCCACAGAGTATGGAAGGAGTGCAGTGAAAACTCCAGTGAGACAGTATGTCGTGCGTACAGCAATTCCCCTTTTCTATTACTTCCATTTTGCATTGTGAAGTTTGGGTGAATTCTGGATGAAATGCTGGAAATACCTGAAGTTGTTAAAATCAAAGAGAGCTATTTCCTTGAGAAAAATCGCAGATAATGCAACAAACATTTCAAGACAGTAGGACAATGAAAAGACCATTATTGTAGGAAATGTTTGTAATTATGTTTTTAAAACCATGTGACTTGTTGTTTTGATTTTTGGTTTTGTTTGTTATTTGTTTTTTTAAGCAAGCATTGCTAAATCAGCTAAAATGGTTTTAAAGAAGAAGAAGGAAGTTCAGGTGGATGCATTCTTTCTTGATCATCATCAGCTTGAAAAACTTAAGAGTAAGTAGGGTATTTTTTTCTGAACTAATGTGTGATTTCTCTTGCCTTCTAGTAGTTACTGAAATTGATCTGTTTTTTTGCTTGTTTTATTTCTAGTGGTTTTGTTTAGTGAGTTTTAGGTGTGTTTGCTCTGCTGTGGTTTGTTTTTATTTTGTAATGACAATGACTTCTTATCATGGCAGAGTCAAAAAAACCCTTTAGAGCATTGTGGCTTTGATTTGAAAACTCTTTACTTTGTTTTATCTGAGGTAGGAAGGTAGTGGAAGGTCCTATTTGTATTCCTACTTGCAGGCCTGTAATTCAGTGATAGCCTGAATATGTGGGATAACCCTGAATTTCCAAGAGTCATAGAATTACTGAGGTTGGAAGGGTTCTCTGGAAGTTGCTTTCCCAGTCTTTGTGTAGCTAATTTGTTTTAAAGCTACTGTTCAAATGGTGTTTTCTATTGTGGGGATTTTTCTTTTGTTTAATGAGACAGAGTTCCAGTGATATTTACTGTAAAAAACCCAAAACAAAGTAATACAAGATTTGTATACTACAGTTACTATGAGGGAGCACTGGTGAGGTCCCACCTGGATTGCTGCATCCAGTTCTTGGCTCCCCAGTACAAGAGTAATATGGGCATGTTGGGGAGACTCCATCTAAGGGCTAAGATGATGAAGGGCCTGGAGCATCCTTCCTATGAGGAAAGGCTGAGAGAGCTGGGACTCTTTGGCCTGGTGAGGAGAAGGGTCAGAGGGATCTTAGCAATGTGTGAAAAATACCTGATGGGAGGACATGGGAGAGAGAGCCAGCATTTTTTCTGTGCTGAATAGTGAAGCCTTGGTGGTATTCCAAAGCCACCTGGCCATGGTCCTGGGCAGCCAGCTCCATGTGACCATATTTGAGCAGTGGGTTTGGACCAGATGACTCCCAGAGGTCCATTACTATTATGCTTCAGTGAAACTGATTTTTAAAAATTTGTTAGGAAAAAAAAAAAGTGTTAAGGTGTTGTTAGGTGACTTAAGGATTTGTGGCACCAATGGGTTTACTGGAACTGGAAAAACCTCTAAGAATCAAACAGTCATTTCTTCTTCTTAGAAATTATGTGTTATTTATACTGCTTATTGTAATTACTTTATAAAAATATCTTCTTCTCCCAAATGTAGGGTTTTCAAAGGCTGAAGAGCAAAATCTTGCATCTCTGCTTCTGCACTGTGCAGAGCTGAGAAATGGCATCCAGCAGATCCAGTGTATTAAACAGGTACAGTTTCACTGTTGTTAATGTGGCTTTTGGTAACTGAGAGAGTGTCCTGTGCACTGTTAATGGCAAATACAGCTCTAAAATAAACTTCTAATGTTTTGTATGTTCCTGGAAACACAGAAAAAGCAGTTGCACATGCATCAGGTAGAAATGTAGTTCAAGTACTTAATTAGCAAGAGCTACAGTTACTGAAAATGGTGGAAGGCAAATGACACCAAATTTACTATTTTGTGTGCCTTTTTTTTTTTTGTTTGTTTTAGAGGTGTTCTTGGAACATTTTTTTGAACTTGAAGCTTAAAGGGAAATGGTGAAGAGGAGACAGTTTTGTGCCATATGCTTGGATGAGAGGGAAGTCTGCCACTGTTAAAAATGATATATCCAGAGTTTTTTGTTCATCATGTATTCTTTTGATTATAGATTGTGCCATTGGTGAAGCAGATGGATGAGAACTCTGCAGGTGATCCCATGGTTAAAGCTTGTTTGGATATTTTGGGAGAGATGTATTTTTCACTGGGTGCAAAGAATCCTTTGAAGAAAGTGTTAGCAAGGTAAAAGATTCAGTAGTTAGCCTTTATTTTTTTTTTTTTTTGTTTTCCTTATCTCTAAGTCAGTAATTTGTCATTCACTATAAATTGCTGTAACTTAATTGCTGAAAATTTGCAGTACTTAATATGTGTATATGTACTGTTTTTCTTTCTAAATTAAAAATCTTAATTATAAATAACATAGATAAATGACTTCAAAGTGAAGCATTGTTTTGGCCTATTTAATTATTGGGAAGACAGCATAGTGTGTAATTAGCGGCTTGAACTTTAAAATCCAGTCTTAGAATAGAAATTTAAAACACAGAATCTCAGCTTTGTCAAAAGAAGATGGCTGAGAGGAATCCTAACTAAATTGTGGTTTCTTGTCCCTATTTTTATTGCAATTATTTTTTAATTGCACAATTATTGTTGTATTTCTTTAGTGAATTTTTTAATAGCCTTAGAGTTTTTTAGGATCTGGTGCTGAGCTGCCATCCTTACTTTGTCTGGAAACATTCACTGTCCTACTGAGATGCACGGCTTCCACTCTGGATTTGGTTGCAGCCACCCCAAAGCTGGGCACCCCTCTGACAGGTCTTCTAGCTGCAAACTGAGAATGTGCATGGTAATTTTAAAACAGGTGATGTTTTCATGCAGGAAGAAACATCTGTGTATTGGAGTTTTAGCTGACATGGATTGTGGTGCAGTGGATGTTAGAACACCTTGGGAAAACCAAACTAAATGTGCTGTTTGTTCATGTTGCAGTTCACTGAACAGTCTTCCCGGACATCTGATGGTGCCAGCTGTGCAAAGTTTTGTGTGCTGCCTTCAGGAAGAACTGAAAGCCACAGATGTGTATTTGTACAGAAAAGTGCTAGACAACCTTGCTTCCTGTATGGAGGACTTCAGCTTAGGTACAGTGACATCGAATGTTGTGCTGGGTAAACTTGCTCAGCACTGGTGCCACATCTGATAGTAATGTTTGCAGTTATGTAAAATAGATAGTGCTGGCTAGAACTCAGTACTTAAAATGTATTTTCTTTCTTCTAGGTAGAGCCTGTATTAAGAACCTGTTTGAAGAAGGTAAAGTCACATTTATAGTAGAATATGCTTCACTGCGGGTTACTGGGGGAGAGGTGTACGTGGAGAAGTGACATGAAGTAGGCATGAAGACCTATCAGATCTGATTTCTCCTGGTTAATTTTCAATAAACTACTATCCTTACATGGTACTTTTTTGTGAAAGACAAGACTTTGATTTATACGTTTATTTCCAGGGCTCAGTTTTGCTTTACTGGGCAGCCCTGATACAAATCTGAGTACCAGTAAGCAGTTGTGGCAGGGAGAGTCAATATCTCACTGGATTAGGCCAAATGGGTTGGAAATTTGTTTTGTACCAGGTTGTTGCAAAACAGTTTGAGATACTGTTTTAGCATTGCTTGTGTTTGTCTATACTGAAATACCAGTTTAATTTATTGGTGGAATGGAAAAATCACCACTGTAACTATTCATTGTAGCTGGGTATGTGTGATGTATTGAGATGTATGTGTGAATTGCTTTGCTGGAAATTTTCTGTTCTATTTCTCTTATAAGTAAATTTATACCATAATTATTTTCACTAGTTCTTCAGTTTCTGCAGAAGTTGCTGCTTGACATACAGGAAGAAAACAGGCAAGTGAATTCAACAGAAGCTCTGTTTTATCTGGTTTTATTTCACTCTTGCAAGATAATTTGGTTTGGTTTAAAATATCACTTTGATAGCCATACATTGATGAAAGATAGAAATACACTTTTACAGTGATGCAGATTTTAAATAAAAACTGATTCTTTTCTTTTGTGGCAATATGATAATTTAAGAGAGGTAAGGCACTGATACTGTTAGAGCTGCTACTAAGGGAGGCCTTTGACTTAAGGTTTTGCTATCTGAATTGTGGCTAAAGAGTGTAATTAATAGATGTAAAATTCAAGTAGAGTAAAACTCTTGCATGTTCCATGAGTGTTTAATTCAGTATTGATATACTTGACATTTTCCAGCATTTCATTAAGTGAGGTGGCTTTGTTGTGGTTTCTCATTCTGAACTGAGAGCAGAAGGGTACTTAATGAGTGTTTTGTGTGCTGAAAGTTTAGATATTTTCTGCCTTAATGTTAGAAAAAAGTCAAATCATAGAAATGTTCTTCATACATGGAGGAATTACTTGAAAAATTACAAGAAAGCAGCGCTGCATTCTGTTGGCCTTTTTGGAAAGTTTCTGGAAAAGTTCAGCTCTGCTCAGGCAGAATCACGCAAATGAAAGTTTGTCACAGGAACCTGCAGAAAACGTAGCAGAATTTATCATTTTTGTTTGTTAACTTCATTTAATAACTACCCTTGAGTCTGCTCCTTGTTTTTCTGTAGTTACACATCTGATCAACTCAAGCAATACATCACTTTTTATCATTAATTCTGTTTAAAGTTGGCTGAATGTGGTTTTCCGGGGATGGTGAAGAATGGTTTTAATTTGCTTTTTGTGTGCTTGCTTGTCTCTTTTCTTCCACAGAAAGAATCATGGAAATAGAATTGTTCAGGCTCAGCTGATGCACGATTTACTGATAGCCATTAAAGTTTCAATGATGCTTATACAAAAATTACAAGAAAATATCCAGGGAAGTCTTTGGAAAAACAGTGAATCTTTTGTTTGGCAAAGTATGTGTAGCTTACTGAAAAGTTGCACAAACTTCCTAATTGATGGTAGGTTTAGTAACATTCAAGCTTAATATTTTTATTAAATTGTTGTCTTTGTAGTAAACAACCTGTGCATATAAAAACTTAGTTTAACTTACATGGAAACAGAGCTACTGAGATTAATGGGAATAGTAGCAGTAGTTGGTTTTTTGGTGTGCTATGACTTGTAGATTGCAGTTTTAGAGTGTACAGTTTAACTTGTCCCACTACAAATACCAAGATTAATGCTGTTATTAATAATTCAAAAACTTAACAGAAGTGTTTTTGGGAGTCGCCAAATGCCTGTGCCTACCAGAAATATCTACAACTCTATGAAATATGCTGTCAGAATTATTTATGGGCACACCATAATTGATAGTGTTTCCTGTTCATAGAGAGGTTTTTATGCAGTAGAATTTAACATGTCAGTAGTCTCTGTTACAGCCCTCCTTGCCTTAGTGGGCAGTCCTGTATTTTCTTCTGTTAAAGACATTAGCAGTTTCTTACTACACTGGAGGATAAAGTTATTAATATATGCTGTCCAGGTGGACACTACAGATTTCTGATGATACAACTAACTACAAGTAGTCTAGCAAAATTCAATGCCATATTTTATAATTTTGCCACATAGTTCTAGCACACAGTGTTTGCTGCATTCTAATGTAAAATATCTCTGCTGTGTAGCAACGCTCCTGCAGACTGTTCAGACTACCTCAGGACTGGCTGTTATTCTCTTTACCAGAGCTATGTATGAACCAGCTGAGGAACTACCTTCATTGGTAAGTGTATTTCTTGGCTGCAGACTGTACCGTATCATGGTGTTGTTACCCTGTGCTATCAGTGTTGTCTGGAGGCTTTGCTGATGCAGGTACTGGGGCTTGGCAGCCTCTCTATCAGTCCTTAGCTGGAGTATAATCCTTTTTTCTCTCCTTGCTATATGAAGTAGTAAGACTTGAGTTTTGAATTTGACAAACACTATTTACAAGAAATCTCTTCAGATCTTCTAAGCTGTGCACGAAACAGGTTTTCTGCTGTGCTGAGGTGCTGTAATGGGTGTGCTTTTGGTGTTCCAGATCAGTGACTTGCTCCTTGGGACAGTGGAACACTCAGGTGTGCCAGCGTGGTTTGTGAGGAGCTGTGGGGTCCTGTGCACGGCAGAGCTCCCGGACTCGGTCCTGCTCTTCCTTTGCCATGGAGCACTGGCTATGCTGGATTGGAAAAATGGCAGCATGGGTGAAAATGGAGAGAAACTATTATTAGATATTGCATCAGTCTTGTTGTCTTTGAGTTCAGGGTAAGTTTGTGCTTTAATCTGTGTTGTTTCATGTTTGGGAGAAGAGGTTTATCTTTTAAATTCTATTTTTGCATGAACCCTGTGGTTCTGGTGGAATATCTGATGTTTTCAGTCTAACGATACTAGGTTTTGCCACAGATCATTTTTATACATTCATAAAAACTCTGTAAATCTTAAAAATACAATGATGTTGCCTATGTAGTTCTAAGTTTCAGTTTTTTTCTTGCATGGTAAAATTTTGTTTTCTAACATGAATGGGACAAATTTATCAATTCCTTTATGGTAAGGTGTGTCAGTATCAGTTCTAATGTATATGTAGACAGATAAACTTCAGTTTCAGGACATCACGTCCTCTCCTTCTGAAAGTTTAGAGGGAAGCAAAGTGTGCCAGTGAGTGGAATACTTGAAGTAAGATGAGTTTTAGATGAGTTTTAATTGGTTTTTTTCTGGCTGCCTACATCCAAGGGCCCACCAGCACTATTGCATTGGAGATTAAATGTATATTCAGTTCAAGTTTTGATTGTGCCTTGGAGATCAGTTTCATGATCTTGTTTTTGCACATAGGATACTCAGTTTTGATAGTTTTATCTGGCAATGAAAAGTTTTCTTACATTTTCAAGAAGATGTAACAACATAATGCTGCTCAAATGTTAGCAGGTGCATAGTAATGTTTTTGTTTTATTGTTGTGGGGCTAGTATGGTTTTTTTTACCCATTGTTAGGGAGTTTAGCTGCAACCATTTAATAGCACATCAGGTAACTAACCATGTACTTGGCAACATCCAGTTGATCACTTCTGTGTTCATTCCTTTTTCTCCATGAATGGATTGAGTCTCCTAATCTGTTTTCATGTAAGGTAAATAAATGTGATGAATAGTTATTCTGAAATACAAAATAGTCTTTTTTTTTTAAATATTGGTAAATGAAGGTAATGAAATTCTTTGTTTTTTCTTTTTAAAAGGCTAAAAGAATCCAGTGTGGCAACATCTTTGTCTAGAATCCTTGCTATTTGGACTAATTCAGCACTGGCTGCTCTTGTTTCAGCCACTCCAGAACTAAAAATCAAACTTAATGGCAACTCTGATATAATTGGGAAGGTGCTGGAATACATTTATACACACTGGGACCACCCTCTGGATGCCATCAGACATCAAACCAAATTGATTTTCAAGAATCTTCTTCAGATACACCAAACTACCATTGCTGGATCAAATGGAAAATCAGACCCATTCTTTGCAAGGCTGATAAAGCACTTACTGAGCTTGGATTGGCATGTAAAAGGGAAATATGCTTCTCTTGGATGTCTGGTGGAGTGTGTGGGCACTGAAAATATACTGCAGTTGGACAGAACAATTCCAGTGCAGATCCTGGATGTGATGAGTGATCAGTCTCTTGCACCTTATGCTAGTGATCTTCTGGAAACCATGTTTACAAATCACAAGGCCCATTTTGCTTTGAGTTTTCAGAAAGGTACCTGGATCGACCAGTGGCACAACATCTGGGTTTCTCCTCTTCTGCTAATACTTTGTGAAGGGAACCATGACCAAACTACTTATATAATAGATTACTATTTACCAAAATTGCTCAAATGTAACCCTGACAGTCTAAGCTACATGATAAGAATTCTTCAGGCCTCTGCAGATGCGAATCTGGGTAAGAAAATAAACTTTGTATTTTTAATTATGATTTAATTAAAAAAATAATTTTAACCACATGATTTCAGGTCTATTATTATTGTTAGAATTAATTTGGGAGAAAAATTCCAGATGCTTATTGTTGCTATTAGTATTTCAAAGTGAAAGTCATAATAATTATAAGTGTGTCTTCATGCCATGAGCAAAATGCTTCTGTGGGTGCCCTGTGGTTCTCTTTACCAGGGTTTGTTAAATTTCTGTATTTTTTACTTCTATTTTATTTTCTTACATGGGTGTGTCCAGTAACAGATTATTTTTTCTTGTAAATATGTGGATACAAGATTTATGATTTTGAAGTAATTTAGTGTGACTCTAAAATACTGGCTTGTGAGACCTCACAAGGTCTTTTCTTCATATGAAACATTTGATATGAAGGTTTTTTGGGAATCAGGTGATTTAGAACTGGTTTAATCTATAGCAGCCCTGTCTTTTGGGATTTATGGAGTAGAAATAAAAGGGAGTGGGTCATATGTTGAAAGTATTGGGAGTTTCTGACAAGCACTGCAAATAGTACCTTGCTTGTATTAATCAAACTGTAATTTTTACTGGTTTTCATTTTCTTTAGGTTCTTGCAGTACTAGAGGAGCTCTTGGAGCATTAATGGCATGCTTGAGAACAGCCAGGGCCCATGGACATCTGGAACTTTCAAATATCATGAGCAGTGGTCTTGTATCCACTGAGTGTCTCAAACAGGGTCTAGTTCATCAGCACAGCCAGGTAAAGGGACAACCATTTATGTATCCTTTACATTAGAATAATTGTTTTGGTCCTGATTACTGTGTTGGTGTTGTAGTAAAACAAAGGTGTCATTATGGGTGTCAATAACTCTTTTTTGGTGAACTTTTAAATGTCTTCCAGGTTTGCATTGATGCTTTAGGTTTACTTTGTGAAACCCATCGTACTACAGAAATTGTGTCTCTGGATGAAATGCAGCTAATTCAATTTTTTATGATGTACAACTTGAACAACCAATCTCCTTCTGTAAGGCAACAGATCGTTTCTCTGCTGAGAAAGGTAATTTCAAACCATGAGCCATGTCTGATGTGCCTCTTATGTTAGTTATAACACCATTTTTAAAGAAATAATAACTATGTTGTGAAGTTGCTCATTGGAAAGAGTAGAAGCTCTAAGACCAGGAGCATGCTTTATTTATTGCCCAATTGAATGGTGTTAAGTCATCACAGGCAAGGATGGCTTAAACAAAATATTAAGTGGCAGAGGCAGGTTAACTTCATGGGTCATGGTGTTGCTTGACCTGCCAGCACCTGCACACTTTGCCAATATCAAATCAATGTGCCCTGGAGTCAGTAGTGAACCTTGTGTTGCCTTTGCTGAGGCCTAAAGCTGTGCTTACATGGGCTTGTCACACCTCAGGCAAATTCAGTCACTTCATCACCCTCAGAAACCTGACCTGGAAAACAAAGTAGAATGTTCACTGTGATGTGGCTGTGCCATTACAGCCTGCAGGGAATGAGCCCCTCCGTCCAGTAGAAGTTGCCAAAGTCACATGTAGCTCATGGGTAAAATGAGGAACCATTTATTTATAAAGAACATCTTGGAAGATGTTTATGGCAAAAGAAGGCAGTTTGGAAGGAGAAAATAATTAACTTGAGAAGGGGGAAAAATGAGGCAGTCAAGTTTGGCAAAAACAAAAGAGAAATCCCATCTTTTTCTTACCTAGTGCAGACTGAGGAGCATGAGATGGAAAAGTCATGCTAGATGGGAGTGTGATAAGAAAGGAAATACTACTTATGGGTAGTAAAAGAGGTAGAGGAAGCACTTCTGAAGTGAGTCAAACTCTGAGAGACACTGAGGCTTTAAAAATTACCTGCATTGAGTTTTTTTATAGATGAACACACTTCCACAGAAAATGAGGTAGGACAAGAAGACTTGGCATGAATTTAAAGAGGGAGATGGAAGAAGGTTTTGGAGATGTAGTAGAAGGAGGAGAGAAACAATTGGTTACAAGAGGTGGGAAGCAAAACCTTGGGTTTGGAGTGGAGAAGGAAGGATCTGTTCTGTGTTATGCTGTATGGAAATTTCCTAAAAATACAAGCAGTGTGCTTTGGAAAATAAGCTGAAAATTGACCTTTTCCTTATATCACTGTCAATGATTCTTGTCTTACGTATTTTTTTCTCTTGTTTTAAAAGTTATTTTGCAGGATACAAGAAAGTTCTCAAGTACTTTATAAATTGGAGCAAAATAAAACCAAGCAAGAGTTAGTTGAGAAGTCAACTAAAATGCCTCCTTTGAGGGTTTTGCAGCAATACAAAGTAAGTGGAATGCTAGAGATGCAAGTAATAGAGGTGGTATAGCATTTCTGAGAGTTCATTGTTGCTGAACACCACTGGGTAAGTTAAGCTCTGTGTGTGTGTTAGGCAATAGTGCAGTGCAGAAGGAAAAAGCCTGTAAAGCCAAACCGTGCTGGGGAGCTTGTCCACTTTGATGTACTTGTGCAAGTTTATTTTGACTAAATGTGCTGTTGTTGATGAACTGAATGCCTATTGGTATTTGGAGCATGTCTTTAAGATAAATTTTCTTTAAAACGATAAAGGTTATTTTATGAGGGATTGCTCTGTGCATTGAAACAGCAGTAAGGAAGAAATGGCTGGAGATGCATCCTCAAGCAAAAAAAAAACCAAAAAAAAAGGGTAACTGTCCTGTCATCTTGTCATCTGTTGGCCATTTAGTAGCGAGCTTTAAGTGATATGTGTTACTTGGACTTAAAATAGTGATTAGCTGAGCTTCAGTTTTTTTCTAGGTCCCCAAAATAATCAGTGAGTGAGAGAATGAATGACAAGAGTTTTAGCATGAAGACTTCTGTTGTATTTGTCTTTTTTATCCTATTTAAAAGCTCATATCATCAGTATCTTTGTGTCATTCTGTTCCTTGAGTTCTGCTGTTCTTTGTTAGCTAATTTTCAGGATTAGATATACAATGTGTGCCTTTTTGTGGGCTTGGGGAAAGGAAACAGTTGTATTTAAAAACCCAAATGATTGTCCAGCCTTCACTGTACTCTAAGAAACAAGAAACAGTGTCTGTACTGTGAATGTTGGCCTCCTGTTTTTCCAAAATTCACTGTAAGGTCATAATTTTTGGGGTAAAGCAGAATGTCCCGAGTTCAGTTACTTAGGCTTTTGTTTGTTGGGCAGCAAGTACGGGGTCTTAATTGTTTTCTTATGATTTTTTTTCCCCCAGGATTTCATGTCATCTGTATGTGCCAGACTTTTTGAGGTATTATTTCCTGGTTCATCACACCCAACCAGGTTTTGTGCACTAAGTATTTTGGAATCAATAGCAGAAATATTTTCTGTTCCAAAAGGTATGAAGTCTAATTTATAGACTTTGATAGACTGTAGGAATAGGAGGTATTGAAGAAGAGTCTTTTATGCTGGCTAGTCAGTTTCTGTCAAAAGGTATTCTTTATTTAAAGAAGTTAGTTGTTTAAGATTGAAGTTGATTTTGATAGGAAGTAAAATTGCCATCTTGCTAAATAATTTCTCAAAACCCCTTGATAAATGAACACATTAGTGTTATTATGTATTACTGCTTTTTTAAAAAATAAAAAGTTATCCTCAATTGTTCATAATATCAGCTGAAAATGTTATAAATTGGTAAGTACTTCTGTAAAAGTAATTCAGCTGTTGTGTTCTGTGCTGTATTATGGTGCAGTTGTTTACATCCTCAAATTTCTGCCTTGTTTAAGTCAAGTCACCAGAATTCACAACTCATTTACACCTAAATTTAACCGAAAGAAATTGTAATGGCTTACATTTTAAGGGATTATTCCTATGACAAAATAACTGAAAACACTAAGTGCCAAAACACACTGAAGCTTTCAACCTCTTTTTTGAAATGAAATATTTTCTACTATTACATACTTACAGGAAAAGAGTTTTTAAACAAAACTAAATAAAGATTTTTTTTTTAATGCTGCATTTAAAGGGAGTAAATGGGATTCTGTTTTTGGTAGTAAGTTATTTTCTAAGAGTATCACTAAGAGTAATTTTTTTTAAAATAAGGTAAGCCTTTTTTATTCCTTCTAATGGGAAATGCGTTATTTTAAGACCTATTAAGAGAAATAATATTAAAATAATAATTTTGCTAAAATTTAATGCTTCTTTTATTATAGCAAAGCAGAATGTGGCGAGAGTGCTTATTCTGGAAAGAGTTACAGCACAACTATCTAAGACATTAATTTCTTTGAACAGGCCAGGCACAAGTTTTCCAGTTGAATCAGGAGATTGATTCTGCTCGTGTCCAAGCTTTGATCCAGTGTTTTGCCAGTACTTTTGAGGAAGTAAAAATTCTGGCATTTAGACTTCTGATGAAACTACATGATGTTGCATTGAATTTACAGGTATGAACTTGAAGAGTTCAGAGGGAGAATTTTGTGGAGTGTTCTGTAGTATACCAGGTGCTGTTGTTAGGTACAGAGCAGGAATCCTGAACCTTAGAAGGCTGTCCAAGTTGCCTGCAATAGTGTTCATCACTAACACCTTCTGTATATTTCTGTACAGCCTCTGCCCTTACCTAAGGAGGCTTGTTTCACTAATGGACAAAGGAGTTTGGGAAGTTCATTGGGTATGACTGTGAACTATCAGAGGAGTAGTTAATGCAAGCCCTTGACTTAGCTGTGACTTCTCTTTGTAAATGATTGAGGCATTTTGACTTGGTTACTCTTGTACTTTAAGGAAATTCAGCTCCCTGTTTCCTTTCATTTCTAATTGATCTCAGGTTTCATTATCTGATTGGGTTTTTGATTTCTCACAAATTTTGCCTTTTGAATTGATACTGATTTGTCTGTAGTAACTTGATGAAAATTTATTTTAAAATTCATTAGTACAGATGAACAAATACTGCTACCAAGTAAACTGTGCTTCTCTTTAATGTCCACTAGCAGATAAAACACATTAACTTGAAAAAAAAAATTTCCTGTGAGGTGCAGTGAAATTGAATACTGCTTTATAAATAGCTGTCCCCATCCTCAATGTCTATGTAATTGTATCCCTGCTAAATACATGCACATGCATGTTTTGAATGTAAGGTCATCAGTGCACAAAATAAGTGTTTCTGAAGAAATATGTACCAGCAAACTTAATTAAAAGCAGGTTCTCAGATTCCAGGGTGGTAAGAAGCTAAATTAAATCAATCTGGAAGCGCAATTAAATGAGAAATATTACTGCTTTGTGTTTTTTTTTCAGGGTTCTGAAAATCTAGATCTTCTATTCCAAGCAGCAATTGATCTTAGCACAAGCACCAAGCCATATGATTGTGTCACTGCTTCATATTTGTTGAACTTTTTAGTATATCACAAAGGACTGCAGCACACTGCTTTAGGAAAATGGCTTGAGCATAACCCCCAGGTGGAGGAAAACACATCAGTGAGTACAGTGGAGAAAAACACTTTGGCAGGTAAGATTCTGGGGAAAGGTTTTTTATATTTGTTGGAAGTGTGCTGCTTTTCCATAAGGCTTTTGGTAGGAGGCTTAGTAAGAGATCCTTATTTCTAACAGGATTTTAAGTATATCGTATTTTGCTGATAAGAAGCCATGTTCTTTAGCAAGATCTTATTCTAGTTCTGTTCATGTTGAGGCTGTTTAATATTCTATAAGATGGCTTTTGACATTATTTTTACTAGTGACATTTGAAAGTGCTGTGAAGGCCCAAGCAGTGAGCCTGGTGAAGCTGAGTGCATAAAGGGCAGGGAAGAACCCTCTGCTTCCCCTAAGAGCTCGCTCACCCAGGGGGGAGGCAGCTCTAGTTAGTCCATCTTTGTTTCAATATTCAGTGTTTGCAATGCTGCCCCTTGGAGCTCTGTTCACTTGGCCCCATTTTTTGTGTGATTTTCAGTCCTGTGAATACACATCCACAGTAATGAGGCTTTGTTGACATACAGAATATTTTTGTTTGGTTTAGTGCCCCTGGATGAAAGATGACAGGGCTGTACATCTGGCAGGTTCGGCAAATTTGTTAACCAGGCATTCTCTACCTTAAGTAATCTTCAGTGAAACTAAAATGCTTAAGTTCATTATTTGTAATAAAATAGTTAAGTTCATTACTTGTAATAAAACAATTTATATAATTTGCAGTAAACTCACAATTCTATACATTTTTGTGCCATTCTTGGCTTCTCTACAGATGCCTGTTAATTCTTTCTTGATATGCAGTGAAATAACAATTTTGAGATATGGCTGTGTTTGCCACGGGTGAAGAAAATGTGTGGGTAACCTCATGTCTCATTGCTCTGGAGCATCTGCTGCTGGTGGTGATCCATGGTTCCTTGACAGGATCTGTAATTTGTTCCAATTCTGGCACTGAGATGTCACAAGCTATAAATAGAATTAACATAGGCACATATAGCCTTGAAAATTGGTCAAGTTGTTTAGTGGAAAACAAAGTTCAAATGTATAATTGTGAATTTTTGATCTTTAATATTCTGATGTACTCATAATTGTATTAATGTGGCTGTAAGGGTGAAGTCTGACTTGTAGTATAGAGTAGGTAACTCCTTGTGACTTCATCATGAGCTGTGTGATTATCCCTAAGCACAGGATGTAGGTTGTGCTTTTCACAGCTGCCATTTGGTTCAGAGAGACAAGTAAAACTGACTATAACAAATATTGTTGGAGTTTAGGTAACTGAACATCAATGGTAACATATATTTCAATGACAGAAGAGGGAGAAATATAATAATTGAAATTGCTGAGCATATTCCATTGAATTGTTGTGTACACAGGTTTTATTCATGTTTCTTAAAGCAGATTTGTTTCTTAGAAGATCAATATATGAATGCTCGATGTAAATCCATGCTTTAAAATATTTTAGTTATCAAGCTTTTGTTGGTGAATGTGGAAGAAGAAATATTCAAAGCCAAGAAGTCTTTGCTTCAAGCTGCAGCATCATTTCCCATGTATGGGAGAGTGCACTGTATAACTGGGGCTTTGCAGCAATTACCCTTCAAGTAAGTAAAACATACTAAGTAAGTTGTAACTCCATATTTCAAGCAAAACATACTAAATGGAAAGTTGTAACTCCATGTTAAATTTCAGTGGAAGAGTTGTTAGGGAGAACAGAAAATCATGCTGTATTATTTATAAGAAAATCCAGTACCTGTGGCTTTTAGAACTCTTGCTGGCTGCTGCAGTATTTGATATTTCCTTTGGATGTGTTAAACTCAGCCTTAAGACTTTTCAATCTCTATCCTATTTATAGTTTTCATAAATATTGTTGCAGAAGTGTTTGTAACTTTGGTTCTTAAATATAAAATTATTTTTAATCCATGTTTTGTTTTGGTTTTTGATTTTTTTTTTCCTTCAGTAACTTGGCGCTGGTGTCGGAATGGAAGGAAATAGTGACCAGGCTCATTCTGATGTCATACAGCCTCTCTGCTGTAGTATCCCCAGTAGTACAGAGCTCATCTCCAGAGGGTCTTATTCCAATGGACAGTGATCCAGGTAAAGAACCAAACAGAATCCCAAAAGAATTATTTTCAAATCTGATGCTCCCATAGGTCTCTTTGTCTTGCGGTCATTCAGAACTAGACTGAGCATCCCTCCCTTTCAGTTTCTCATTTCATGTCATAAATTTTGGTCATTCTTTTAATTTCTGATAAAGTTTTCTTGACTTCTTCACTGGAAAACCCAGAAAAATTTGCAGACTGTATTGTTGCATCTCTTTCAAAACAGGGCACTGTAAATTCAGGTTTTTTTCCTTGCTTGTTCTAGTCACCAGAGAACCTTATGGGTTTTTTTTTTAATACTTACAGTGTTCTTTTGTAGCTATACACCCCAAATGAATTACATCAGTATAAAGGAATGGAAGTAGAAGACAAAACTATCTTAAATATCCCTCTTGTTTAATATGCAGAAAGTGCAGGTCGCTTGCAGATGATTCTGCATGAGATACAACCACAAGACACAAATGATTATTTTATGCAAGCAAAAATTCTGAAAGAACACTGCAAAGAAGAATCTGAAAAGCTGGTTGACCAGAGGCCAACAAAAAATATTTGCATGGAAATGAGAGGTAAATCTAAGGCTATATGAGTAATTAAATCAAGGTGTTTTTTATAGAGGCATTATTTTATGTGGATGATCAGTTGGAAATTACTTGCTTGTGTAATGTTTCGGTTCTTACCTGTCAGAAGCTAGTTATTGATGGACATGGCTTTAAAAACTAATTCACTGTGCTTCTGGAAGATTGTGGTTAATCTCTCTTAAGACACAAGTGAAAATTAGTTACTTTCATATTGGACTAGACTCTGTTGCCTTCACTGTACTGGCCAGGTAATCTTGAACACCTTTTCTATCAAGCAATGCTTCTAATGTATTTCTTGTTGAGAAGTGTTACTGTGATTTTCCTTTCCAGTCTACACGAGGCTAGTGGAGATTGATACAATACAACTTGTTGCATGAAATTACATAAGCAGAAACTTCAGCTTGAAAGATTCTAGTGGTAAAATGTTAGGGAGTATTTGTCTCTTTTAATGAATAGCAGCTATGAAACAGAACCTTACAACAATAAAGAAATTGTAAACTTTTGCATGTTTAATGTAGTCCAGAATAAATATATAGAATATCCGCACATTTTAAAATGTAATAGTTTATGCAAGCTTTTGAACTTCCTTTCCCCGGTTACTTTTCCTTACGTTTGAAATAGTTTGGTGGGGCCGCGTGTTTTATTTCAAAAGGGTAAACACGTGCAAGAGCCGCAGTGGCCACCAGGTGGCGGCGGCGCGTCACAAACGCTTCTTCCTGCCGGGCGGCGATGGATGCGGGAATGGATGGATGCGGGAATGGATGGCTGCCTGGGAAGGCTCCCAGGTTTCTGTTGGGAATCAATGCCTGCCTAGGAAGGTGCGCAGGTTTCTGTTGGGAATCAATGCCTGCCTAGGAAGGTGCCCAGGTTCCTGTTGGGAATGGATGCCTGCCTAGGAAGGTGCCCAGGTTTCTGTTGCTCGGTGTGTGAGTAAATAGGAGTTGTGACCAAAAGATCTCTACTCTTTACACTTCTCTGGTAAAATGTTTATGCTACTGCTTTTTCCAAGTGCGAGAAATTAAAACAACTGTTGAGGCAATTAGGGTCAACAAGATTAAACTATCTTTCGGACAGGCAAGTTTAGATTTTTTTCATACTTAATTCTGTTTTGTTGGACAGGCTAAGGGAAGTTTAAATTACACACCTACATCTGAGAACCCTGAGTTACACTATTGCATTTGTTGTCTTCTTGTTTTTAAGGCAAAGACAGGCAAGCATGTGATGTCACAGCTCAAATGGTTCTTGTATGTTGCTGGAGAAGCATGAAGGAAGTATCTCTGCTCTTAGGGACGCTGTGTAAACTTTTGCCCTCACAGACTACATCTCAACCTTCAGAGGAATTGATTACTGTAGAACAGGTAAATAATTTTTATAATGAAACCTGCAGTTTCTTCTTGAGTGGTGGTAGAGGCAGAGGCAGTTCTTAGAGGTTTTTCTCCTTGAATCTGTGTTCTATTTGGGAAAAGTTGGTTTCAAAATTCTTTTAATTGCCATGGTGTAAGGGTTTTCTTGTTATGCTTGGTTATTATCAGTGCTGTTTTGATCCAGTGGTATTCAGATCCAGTGGTATCTGTAAAAACAGATACATGAAGAAGTTATTATACATTACTAAAAACCTCATTCATTCTAATTGTACTGGGTTGTACGAGGTGTGTGATATGTTTAGGGGTACCAGTGCCTGCCTGCCACCTTCCTGTTGTCTCTCTCTCAGGATGTATTAGCCACTAATTGAATTGCTAAGAATCTTCTAAACTGACTTCATATTCAAAGTCTCTTTTGTGTAATTTTGAACTTTACATATTGAGTTTCTGCTTAAAGCTCTTCCTTAATTAGTGTTAGAGTCAAGAGTTCTGAAAGTCAAACATGCTGACTAGTCCTAGTCTTGTCTTTTTCTTATCTATTGTTATGAATCATTTGTATGTAATGTGATTGTATCTTTTTCTTCGAATTTTTTTAATATGAGAGATCAGAAATGTTAGTATGCCATCTGGGTCTCTTGCAGAGCATTGAGTTCAGTGTTTACAAGAAATTAGATTACCACAGGCATTTATTTGGGAAATATTTTCAGTTTATTAAATTTCTGTTTTAATTGATGACCTTTTCATTTATATATGTTTCAATAAAACCAGTTTGCACAGAAGACTGAAATATGAAAGACTAACTATTCTTTAACCTTTTTCTTTCCAACAGAAAACAACTAGTTACTTTTTCCTTAGGTGTTAGAACTTCACATTTAAAAATAACAAACAGTATTATATACTCCAGATTTTATTTCTTATCTAATATTGTGGTGTCATGGAAATAGCACTGGTGTCTTTATTCTTGCATTGTTTCCAGTCCTCATGTTTTCATCTGGTTAACAGCTGTGCTTGTGTTGTTGCCAGGGTCTGGAGGGCAGATGAGAGAGCAGATATGCATTTCCACCATTATGTTCCTTAATTTGCACCAAGTTGGGGGAATTGGTGTTTCAGAATGAGTCAGGTCTAACTGCAGCATCTCTGTTTTTGGAAAGCAGACATTGATGGGTGCTCTTTCAGAAATAATACATTATTAAGGAAGGAGATGGACTTCCATGATCTTGTGGGTCCCTTCCAGCTCAGGATTTTCTGTGATTCTGTAACGGTACCTTCTTTCCCTATCAATGCCTCTTCAGCTTGTTAATGCTTTAGATGTCTTCCTGTAAAACAGAATAAGAAGAATGCTAATGGACGAGAAGTCAGTTGGAAATCCTGATTTTCCTCAGGCTTGCAAGGAAATACACAAAGAAAACTGCAGGCATTTTCTCTGTGCTTTTTGTAACTTTGGTTCATTACCATGTGTTGTACAAAAAAAAAGGAGGGTTTCATCAGAAATGACAAAAAATGTCAATGCCATAACTGCTAGGGCTTCAGACTTATTAAACACTTACCAGTGTTGACAAAGAAGCAAGTTGGATTTTGTTATCTCGTGCATGTAGAACTTTTCTTTCAAGTTGCCCATTCTTTTTCTTCATCTTAGAACTACTGGAAGAGATTTAAGAATACAGTGAAGGAAAACTTTGAGGGAAACCTTGGTCAGCTTGCCTTAGGCCAGGCTAAGTCATTGTTGAGAAAAGTATGGTAGCACTTCTTGGCCAGTGTGTCTCATGCTGTTGCAAATCTTCATGTTGTACCATGCTGCACATCTAGGTCAGTAACTGTATTAAATTGTGCCTTAGGGGATTAATGCTGTCATAGCTTATTCACCCAAAAGTTCACAGTGAGTGTTGAATTTGCCCACAGTCTTCTAATTGGTTGTACCTGCTTTTTTAATGGAGCATGCAGATGGAAATAGTGCCTTACAGTGCTGGTGGGCATTAGGAGATGGCACAGCAGAACTTCTTCCTGGCAGGCAGTGTGCTGCTGGGGACTACTCTTTGCAGCAGTAATGCTGCTTGTTGTGCTGTGTCTGTGGAGGACAGGGTGGCAGGGTGGCAGCTCCTGCATGATACTGTGTTGTTTGTGGGAAGCTGGGACAGATTAGCACTCTCCTTGTCTTTTGAGTAGGAGATTGGGTTTACGTGGCAGTCTTCAAAACATCAGCTATTTTACATGGTGGCCTTGCCTTTAGAAATAATAGACATAGGCAGTGCAGAGTATAGCTGGAGGAATCTCTTTATTCAAATGCATATTGTACTTTTCATCTTCCGTCTGATCCCCAAAGTCCAGAGATGGCAGGCTTAGAACTATGCCTGTTGAGAAAATCAATATAAATAGTATAATGTAACGACCAGAACAACATCTAATGAACATTCTGTATGTTTTTTTGTCATATGACATGCAAATCATGAATGCTCCAAGTATGGGGGAACATTTAGCTCTTCCTCAAACTCCTGTTTATCTCATCTGGGAAGTTTTAAGACAATTGTAGGAGATAAGCTTGCCAGAGCTCTGTGCCACAGTGAAAAGAAACAGGCAGCAGAAGTAAAGACTGAGTTGTCCCATGGCTTGTATTAGTCTTTTTGGAATATCTTTGAGAGACTTTATGGCTTGAATACCCAGATTCTTGCACTCAACAGCAAGTGTGGTGTCGGAACTCAAAATGTCCCTCAGACATTTTTAGAGGTTCCAGGCCTTGGTCAGAAGCATTTTAGACCCTGGCAAGCAGCTGAAAACAGCTGTGATTTTGAGTTTGAGCCATGGAATGAGTTACCAACTTTGAAGGTGGAACAAGCAGTCACAGAGGGTTAGATGGTATAGTAAAAGTAGTTACAAATTAGAGGGAAAAATTTTTTAGTATTGTACAGGGGGATTTTAACACCTGTACAGGGGGGTTTTACTTTGTACAGGGGGGTCAGGAGTTCTAAGATGGAGGAAAGTGGGCCTGATCCTGTTCTTCCTCCTTCTTCTCCCTTACCTCCATGTTCTTGGTGATGTTGGCACTCACAGATTGGTTTAGAGTAGAAAAGCACATTGTAACATAGATAGTAGGTATTGGGGAAAATCTGTAAACATATAATACGTAATATATCATATAAAAGGTAGCAGCAGCCTTGGGCGGGGAGAGAGAAGACGAAGACACCGGACAGTGAGGGTGTCAGGAGTGTGTGTGTCTCTGCCTGGGCTGCTGACCAAAGCAGCCACAGCGGGCGAAGACAATCTTTTAGATAACCAGCAATGAACTGCCTTGAGACCGAACAACAAGAGGCTGCGGAGTTTTTCTTTGGAAGCAAAGGTTGGAGGAGAGACTGTACCACCACATGAGACCCCTGAATCAATCCCGGGGTTCTCACAGTGTGGCCCTGTACATTGTTGATTGTTGAATTAGTAAGGTTCACCTGTTACATTCTAAATTTCTGACCAAGAACAGAGTTATGGTAGTGCTGCTTCTAGCCTGTGAGTTCAGTTTGATGCAAGTTTCTAGTCAACATGGCTGTTGCAAGAAACTCAGAAGTATAAATAGTAAAGTTGGAAGTTATGTGACCAAAAAAAAAATAAAATTCATATGAATTCTAGAAGCATAAGCGTGGTGCTGGATGGGCTGGTAAATTGATTTACATGTGTATGGATTTCTTGATTTGGTTTTGTTTACACACCTGGAGAACTGCCCCATCCATGGGTCAGATTCTTGTGAATAAAGGGCACTTACTCCTCTTTTTTGGACTAGAATGCTGAAATGAAACTCTGTAGCTGTATAAGCTACCTTAAAATCCACTCAGACATAACTTTTTTAGCTCAAATATGTCCAGTTATTGTGTGTTTCACATTAGGTAAGTTTTAGCTGCAGCAAATAATATGTAGACGGTCTCAGATTTTTTTTTTAATTATTGCAATCTCATTGCTTGGGTGATACAAATTACTTAATAGGAAGCTGAAAAACCATAAAGGTAGATATGACATTAACTTCCCTGACAACTTAATTACTTGTCAGACTATTAAAGTATTAGAGTAATTGTATAAGTAACAGAACAAGCAGAATTTTATAAGCAACTTGATGTGATTTTATGCATATTTTTATATAAAAGGTTAAAGAAACTTTTACTTGAGAACTTCTAGGAAAGACTCCTGAAGTAAATTTTGCCTAAGGGTATTAAGTATGTGCTATGCATTTTAAACAAATTATGTAGGAAGTTTGATTTAGAACTTGAAAGTTGATGAGAGCCAAAAGAAAAAAAACAACAAACAAGACAGCCTATCCTTCTTGGAATGAGATTATGTGAATCTGTAAACTTCCAAACAGATTTAAAAGCTTTGTGTTGTAATAGAGCTCTAGAAAATAACTATAAGTGAAAGTTTAGGTGTCACATTTTCAGTTTTAATGCTTTTGAAAATAGCTCACATTGCAACTTCATCTTCATTTTAAAATTGTTTCTAATAGTCAACAGCAATTATGCAGAATTCTCGGACGTTAGAAATTTGTATTTATATGTATTACCTTATCTAAAGTAGATTTTTTTTTCCCCTTTGGTACAATTTTTGGAGTTTGAATTTCATATCTTAAAAATTTTTTAGAATTTTTTTTCTGCTGTCGTTTGTAGTTGGCATGCTCTTTGGGGTTTTGGCAAGAGTGTAGGCTAACAAGAAGGAATCTACATTTGTTTCCCCTGAAAATCAGAGTTGTCCCTTTCTTTTAAAATCTGACTATGTCAGTCACAGACAAATAACCAATTTCATGTCCTTTATATTTTTGGACTTTTGGAAAGAATACAGACATACTTCCTTAACCTAAAAAAAAGTGAGTATAATAGTTGTTATCATTAAAGTAAGTGGTTGTCTATTATAGGACTTGTAGTTGCTTTTTGATTGTACCAGTGATCCTTCCAACCAGGGGGAGGATTGTTGCTTTGAACTGCAAAGCATTTTGCATATATAAATTATGTGTCTGTAATTTAAAATTACTTTGTAACTTTTTCTTTCTTTTTTAGGTTAAAAATATTGGTGATTACTTTAAACATCATCTGCTGCAATCAAGGCACAGGGGTGCATTTGAATTGGCATATGCTGGCTTCGTGCAACTTACAGAAATGCTTTCCAGGTAGAAGATGGGCAATGTCCTATGTTTTTAATACAAGTTTTAACAAATTTTGGCATCGACCCTGAAGCTGGCTCTGCAGGCAGATCCTTGTTTTCACATGGATTTTATTTAAGTGTGTAGGCATGATTATGACAGTTACATGTTGTCTGTGACTTGGACTACAATATTTATGGTTAGAGGTGCTGCTTAGGCATTGAAAAATGATATAGACATATAATGCTTGCTGCATTTTTCTTCATTTCTGGCATGTTATTTTCCTGAACAGCTCTTAAAAACTCTTGGGAAAAGTAGGAGTGTAGAGTTCTTCCATCTCGCTCCCCTTTTCTGGTCTTTTATGAAAGCGTATGCCAGACTTTTTGTTTTAGCCAGGACATGTTCTTGGAAACTTCTGTTACCTGTCATGGAGTTGGTTATTGTGACATTTGGAAGACTACCTGACAGTGCATCACAGGGTATGATATGCACTCTGGCTTTTTTCTTTCCCTTTGTAACTTTATAGTTTCCTAGAAGAACTAAATGAACAGAATGATCCTGAGGTCTGGGCAAGATCACTGGAATTTCCATTACATGCTTATCCAGCACTTGAAATCAGTAGTTATATTTCTTTGTGGTATACAGTTTATATCCCATCCATGTTTTAATAAGACAAATTAAAATTTCTACTGACTAGGTAGAGTTTGGTGGGTTTTTTTGTTGCTGGGTTTTAATATGAAAGACCAGTCAGATTTTCAAATTGAAGTACCTGTTTTTCACACCAATGCTAGGTTAAGTATGCAATGTTCCCCTTTTGCCCCATATCAGCCAGTTTGAAGTACAGATCTCTTTCTTCTTTATTTCATAATGGAAACAGTTTGGTGCTTTTAGTACAGACTGCTGGCTGATCAGGACCACGGGGTGTCCCCTCAGAAAATCTTCCCAACAGAGCTGAGGCTTGGTCTGTGCTACAGGATGCCGGGTGAGGCTGCTGCATCTATGTGTCAGCACTGCTACAGTAAGGGTATTTAACACGTAGTGGTGTTGATTCTGTGTGCTAGTGGGATGTTAGGCTGCATGCCATGATTCTCTTGCTGATCGCTCTCTCCAAGGTACATGATTTTCTTTCAGGTGATGGCAATCTGAGGGATTTCAGATTGGCTTGAGGAGTTTGTTGAGCACTCCCACAACCTTGCTTTACACTTGGTTGTTTGCTCAAAGAGGAAAAAAAAAGAAAGAAACTTACTGCTTATCTTCTTGCCTGTCCATATATTTTATATACACTTGTTTAAACATTGGAGTGTTCTTCTATACCATGAAAACTTGGTTCAGGAAGTTCTAAGGTGATGTAAGTTTTCTCCTGACAATGTGAAGGGAGAGTCTGGCCATCAGAGTAGTACAGTTAAAAAACCCCCAAAAAACAGCAAAAAAAAACCCCCAACCAACAAACAGACCTTTGAGTCTATTTGGGAGGAATAAGGAGGTAATCCAAGCAGGTACAACCCTGCTGGTCTGATCTCAGTCAATATGCAGGACTCTCTTGTAGCAAAGGCAAAGTAAAAAGCAGGGAATAATGGAAAACATAAAACACACAGTCAGTTTATAGCAGACTCGCTATTTTTCTTTGATTTTCAGTTTTAAAATTTCCCTTAAAATTTTCTGAGGCAAATAGAGTAGAGAAAATCTACTCAGACTTTGGAAAATTTGCTGATGTGTTTGTTGCCTCTTCTGCTTTCTGCCGTTGTATTCAATGGAGCTCAGTCCACTTAACAGCAGACTTCTGCTAGGTTGAAAAATGAAGAGCCAAGCCCAAGAGAACTCTACTTGCCTGAAAATTATTCAAACATTAAATGATATGTATGTATCATCCAAAAAAAAGCCCTCCAAAATTAAGGAAGTTTCCTTTTCTGAATTAGCAGTAGTCTGTTACAATTCTTTTGGTTATCCATACTGCCTAGCATTTTTAAAGTTAAGATATTTCAAGCAGAGCAAGTGTTCCTTTGGGAAAAAAGATTTATAAGAACTGGAGAGCAGCTCTGTAGAAGTACATTTGTTTCAAAGAAAGACAATATTTTCCAGGAACTACAGGTCTCAAAGCTTATATTTGTATTTAAAACAAAGGAGAAAGGAGACTGATACCAGAACAGGAAATGACTCTTTGATTTGGTACTCCAGGGATATGAGGAATATTTTGAGACTCTCCTCCAAAAGGGGCGAATTAAATCTTGGTGAATACAGCTGCCTTGCAGGTCTGTTGATTGTCATGGAGCATTTCCATGTCCCCTGCTGCAGCTCCATTCTGCAAGTGAATCTCAGCTGGCCTGCCTCTCTCCATAGCTGAGAGGCTTATGGGCAGTCTTGAAGCATGTGTGTCATAATCTATATTAATTTACTGCTGTGGCCACAAATGCCAGAGGAGAAAGCTTTTGTCTGGGGTGACTTGGAGTAATGTACATCTTAGCATGATACCTTGTTGAACAGGCTTGAAATCTAGATGTTCAGAAGCATCCCTGACACTTGAATTTGTTCTTTACGTATTGAATTTGTTCTTTATGTAAAGCACAGTGAAAAATCTGTCACTAGGACTGTGCCAGATCCTTTTCCCAGGCATCCAGTTGAATATAATCCTTCACTTATTTATTGCCAAGCACTTTTTTTAAACTTTATGCTGCGGTGTCTTTTATCTGAGCTTGCTTTTAGCTGTACAACCCTGAAACACCAGTCCTTATAAGAACCAAGAACAGACTTTTTTTTCTAGACAGAATGATGGTATTCAGACCTGTTTGAAATAGTGGCAAAAGAAAAATATTTCCTCTGCAGAGATTTCTTCCAAACCTGATGAAATTGATCTGTCTTGAAATTCAGATGTAAATTGCTGAGTCTGCTCTAGTATGCAAGTTACCATTCTTCTGTTTCCCTGTTGATACTCCTTCTGGGAGTGTAGTGCTCCCTTTGTCATGCCTGCTTAATGTTGCCTGCAGCTGCACCTTCAAAAAAAACCCATACAGTTACATAACAAGCAACATTCATATCAATGAAATAAGCAATATGTTTTAAAAAAGAGTATTTCCTGCTAAAGGCCTAGAGAAATTAAAAAATGCTCATTTGGTCTGTGATAGCATGGTGGCTCAGGAAAGTCAGAATTCTGTTTTAAACTTGAATCTTTTGTAATCCTTATTACTCAAGCAATTTCTTCTGTCCCAAGTGACATTTTGCCTGCTTTGCGTTTCTTTTACTCGGTGATCTCTTTGCCAAGAGATCAGGTAGATTTCTGGAAATCTGAAATGGCATTGCATAGCTATGGTGGTAGTGCTTTGCTTCACTAAAGTTGCAGAATGTAAGTGTAAGGTTTGGGAAGAGTAATGTCATATTGTGCAATGTGTTTGCTTAGGAATAATGTATTTTGAACACTTTAAAGTGTTTGATTGGAACTTAAATAGTGGTGAGCACTGTTTTAGGAGCTGCAGTAAGTTAGGTTCATAACAGTTTTCTAGAAAGTTGTAATTTATTAAAAAATATGAAAATCATTATTTTATTTCAAAAATGTTAATCTGTTAATGTCAGTGAAAATTACTTATCTGTACCTAGTCAGTGTCTGATCTTCTGTAATATTTCTTTTGGGAAATGCTAATTCTTTGCAGTAAACTCTGCTTCTATCTCATTTTTTTGCACTGAAGTGACTGTTACTCATTGATTTCCTAGCCTATTGTGATCTGCCAGGAAGACTTGTAAAATGGAAATACCACTAATGGACTTTTTAGTGAAACTTACCAAAAAAAGTATAATCACAGATGTGAAGGGAAAGAGTGCTGAAGGGAGAGAAAGAAAGTGGGGGAGAAGCACGCCTCTTATATATTGAGATGCTTGTAGCATTAGGAAATACATGACATAAGGAAGTATGAAATACAATGTTAAGGCAACACTCAGGTTGAAGGTGTATTAATTTTTAACACTGTTCATATTTTCCTTCCCATTTATTTTGCTGCTTGGTGTGAGAGATATAGGTAATGATACTGTCTGAAACTTTGAAGCCACCCAAGGTTCTTTCTGCTCTCCTTTTCCGATGGAGAAACCTCAAACCCTTCTCAATGCACCTATATAATCTGGAAAATTTTGTTTCCTATAGAGTAGTGTGAAAAGGAGGATGCAAGTGGAAGGACTTAGTAGTTTCAGAAGAGTTGTTCTGAAAAGCAGAATTATAACTTGAATAGTAATGTGTTTTTGAGGTTAGATTCTGGTCTCAGAAGTACCAGGGGCAGTAGTGTCTGTAAAAAATGGGAATCACATTACTTACGTGGAAAAGAATAATACTGCAGACCTGTTGAGAGAGAAAAAAATGGTAAAAGAAAGCTGCTTTTTGCCTGGGTAGGAACTGCTGACAGTGATTGGAATCACTGAATTCTGGATATATGTGTGTAGAAAAATGCTTCTGGTCATGTGATGTTCGTGCCACGAGGCACTCGCATCCAGGAAGGCCAAATTCAAGATTGACCCACTGTTAACACCCCATTTGTTTTAGATAGGAGAAAATAGAGATCTGTGACGTATGGAGAGGAGTTTAACTTAGGATTGCCAAGCTTTTGTACTTATTGATACTGACCACAGAAAGGGTTTGGGGCATGTATGAAATGGTTTTAACTCTGAGATGAACAGACAGAAAATTGTGCATTACACTTAATGTACTGCATCTTAAGTAATTTGTGTATCAACTTACTGTGTTATATTTTCATTATGAACAATATTTGTTTGATCTGGTAAAAATAATGAGTATTTCATTCTGGAAAATTACATTTGATCTTGAGGCTTTAATTTTTTTATTGTAAAGCTTTGTTATTCTTAAAATTTAGGGTGCTTCTTATGACAATATTCTTCTTGCCAGACCACAAGGAGACAGAGCTGCCAAATGGAAGGGAGTAGTCATCTCCATTGCAAAGTCAATAGTCTCTAATGTTTCTAACTCTACAGCAGTAACTCTTTCACCTTCTAATAAATAAAAGTGCATTGGTGGGTGACTGAACAAGGTAGAATTACTTGTGGCAAGATCAAAGCAATATGGCTTTAAGGGAGTCTAAAGTTTATTTGACTTGAGTATGCTTCTCCTCTTTCTACTAATACTGAGAGGAGAAAAATCCCTCAGTTTACTTAAGACTAAAATATTCAGTGTGCTATGTAGCAACTTTGGAATATTTCCTTAATGCTTTACTTTGTGCTCCTCTGCACCCCAGCAGATGTAGTGATTTCTCATGGGCTGTTTGTGTTAATACTAGGATAGCATCTGAAGAGAGATGAGCACTGTTCTCTGTGTGATTGAATGGAGACATTTAAATTTTGCTTAGCTAGGGAGGTAAGACCAGGTGTCTCCATGATCAGAAGGAGCAGATTTTGCAGAATGTGTTGATTTGGATGAAAAGAATGGCAAAGTTGTGTCTTAACTGCTGAGACTCATGGAGGAGATCTGTGAGAATTTTTGTGTGGTCTCAATCCTAGAGTCGTATCCTCATTCTGTACCCAAAAGTGAGCAAAAGAATGCATCCTGTAAGTAAGCAAGGACAAACACTTAACAGCAAAAGAAAGAGAACTCATTGTGAGTTTCCAGGTTAATCTAATTGCTTCTGCCATAGGCTTGGGGCAGAAAGTGCCTTTCTTTTATGCCATGGTACGAAGTGAGGTATCACTTGTCAAGCATTGCTTCTCTTGAGCTCTGGACTGGTGGTTTGCATTCTGACTGCCCTTCTGAAGAGGTGCTGCCTTTAAAAAATGGGGAGAATGCCTGGCAGCAGTGTAGGAAATGTGGAAATCCTGCAGGAATTACTAGAGAGTAAGAAGCATCCTGTGTTTTCTGCTGACCTGTCTGACACTACTGTGACCTCAGGTTTCTGCATTACTAATTTTCTGGGTGTTTTTTTAAAAGAAGGAAAGGAGTGTTTCACTGCAGATTAAAGCCTAATTTTTTGTTCATGATCAGGTTTTTAGCCAATATAAATTCTTGCTTTAATAAGAGGAGGATGAAGAAGGGAGGAATATATGCAGAGCTTCCATTAGATTTTGGTTTTTATACATGTATCTGCTGCCTTTTACCTTTGCTTTTAAATTCTTTATTTCAGTCATCCAGATAGAAAACTTGATTCTAGTCTTACCCTAAGGTCTTACTACCTAATCTTGAATTTAATTATAGTTTATATTTTTAGGTAAGGCAAGTCCTGCATGGTTGAGATAATTGCAGTTGTATTGCCCATAGTGTTGAATTATTTCTTCTACTCTGAATCACATGTCAAACCAGTGTGACAGGTTTTAATAACTATGTCCTGTTAATAGGAATTTTTTGTAACAATGAATGATCCTTTTGGAACATTGACATAAGATTAATGGGCTAATGCTGCACACTGAATGTGGTACATTTTATTGAACTGAACAGCACCAGTAATTGAAATTGACTTGAATTTTTCCTTGTCCTTGGAAGTCGTTTGCTTTCAGGCAATGCTGAGTTTTATAACTGCAGAGGAGGAGTATTTGATGATAGGAGAGCAGTTTAGGTGCTTTGCGAAAAGTTTGACTGACTTAGTATTGAAAAGAGCACTATGTCTTGTTTTTCATTCCTTCCATTGCTCTGAGGCTTGCAGGGTTATTTACATAACGTGTACTTACTTTGAGGGGCTTCAGTTTCAGTTTGTATGGTTATAAACACCAATATTAGTGTAAGGGGCACGCAGCAGCTGCTGTGTGGCAACGAAGATATGAATTTGTGAAGTGTCACTTCCTACACAGTGGCTGATGGGCATATGTCCTTGTCTTGTTTCTCCAGAACATGGTAATAATTTTTGGCAGAAGAGAATTGTTGCAGCAAAGCAGAGTCTTGTTTTCTGCTCAGTTAAATATATTTTGCTAGTGGCACTTAATAAGTAGGGTTAATATTACTTGTACCAACACTTGAAAAAGTTACAATTTGTTTAAAATTTATCTGATTTCATAATAAAAATCTGTGTCTGTGCTTGGAGATGTTAACATACTGTAAGAAATATTTCTTAAGGTTGCTAAATGCTTTCTTTGACTTTGTCCTTGTTTTATTCACTTGTTTCTAAATTTCTTATGTATCTGCTTGATGTAGATGTAACAGCGAGAGTCTGCACAAGATGCCAGAACACTGGCTAAGCTGTGTGTTAGAAGAAATCAAATCTTGTGATCCTTCTTCCACACTGTGTGCAACCAGGCGGAGTGCAGGAATTCCATTCTACATACAGGTACCAACTAATGTCACTGCCTCTGATGAAAATGTATTTTCCAGAAAGGGCATTTAAAAAAAAAAAGAAATTGCATATTTATTTTTCCCACTTCAACCCCTTTTGATCAAACAGTTGTTTGGTTTTTTATACAGACTTTGATTGCCTTTGTACAGTCAAGAAACTGTTTTTAATTGAACAATATTTGGCACCTCAGTTCTGTTGACTCTTGAGAATTTTGTCTTGTGGTAGATTTCTAAAGACTGTGTTTAGACTTTGTGTTACAACTGTAATAATTCTGGCAAATTCATAGATTAATTCACAGATTAAGTAAGGCTTTGTTAACGACGTGCTACTTCAGTGCAAAGCGGGAGGCTGGTAGAATATGAACAGACCTTCACAGAATTGTAAAATGGTGTCCTCTTAAATACTGCCAAGAACTTGGGAAGGCCACTCAACAGCAATAAGGCACAAGTAATAGTGTCACACTGACTGGTGTTGACTGGCAGTCTTAAGTGCAATGAAGGTGTACATTACTGAAGACTTTTATCTGTGAACGTGGGGCCATGCTCTCACATTCTTCCCACTCCCTGTGTTACCTTCAGCTCCATTAATCCCAGCCTCTCTGACTTCAGCCAAGCTCAGGACTGATGGCAGGATAGCAGTCTTTCTCTCTGTGTGAAGTGTCACCTCTTGCTGAGTGTCCCACATTAGTATGCAGCAGCTCATCTACATCCTTGTGGGGTCAGTCACTGCAGAGTTGGTTTTGCAGATTCTTAATACTGCACCTATTTTCATTCCTTTGTTCCTTAAAGCAGCCATATTTGCTTTCCCCTAAATTAACCTCCATAATCTTGATGTTCAACCAGTTTTCTAAGACAGGAGTCCAAGAGTAACAATATGGTTTGTAACTTTGTCCACTCTCTGAAGTACAGTCTCAGGCACGTTCCAGGGATCTGAGGGACTGCTGGGAGCAAGCTCTCCCTGCCAGAATAATTCATCTTGCTTGTTTTCCACTCTGAGTTTGCCCTGAGAAAGTTGAGGCAGCCAGCTTCTGTCTGACCTCTTATGTCAGTCACAGGCTGCTCCTGGCTTTGCTAGATGTGTGTGCAAGGCAGCAGAGATCAGAAGTAGGGCACTGGTTTTTTCCTGTTTAGTTTCAGCAGTTAAATATCTTTTTCACTTTTAAGAGTAAGTTATCTGCAGAAGAAATTTGGTGATTTCGTGTTTTCTGGTTTCCCCACTCACACCACACCGTTTGAATTTGGTGTATATTATCTAGTTTTAATCTTGACAATGTGGGGGGAAAAAAAGCATATTTGAATCAGTGTTTTATGTAAAAGGTTACTGTAAGGACTAGGTGGACCCACAGATATCCCACTGCGTGTGTAGTCTGCAGTCAGCCTACTGATTCCAGAAGGCAAAGCTTGCACTGTGCCTCAGCTCTGTGGATAAATAGGTCAGAGGCTTCTTTTTTCACAGCTCTGGAAGAGTACAAAGTTTAGTCAATTAACATGTGGATTAGTCTGAAATAAACTATTTTCATATTGTAAATTTTATCGTAAAGAGAGGTGGTAGTGTTCTTTGGAAGTGGTTTTGAATGTGTCCATAGACTCAGTAAAATGAGTTGAACCTTCAATGCCATGTGGCATTTGGATAATAAAAATATAAGCTGTACTGTGTATCCTAACAGTAGTAAAAGAAGGTTGTTTTATTACTGCAGTGTGGTCTCTTTGCTATTTACATCCTGTGCTGTGTTCTTGTTAACCTAAAATACATCTATTTTAATGAGAATATGTAATTTTTGAGGTTGTAACCATTCCATGACCTCTTTAAAATAGGAATGGTTTTGCTGAGTAGCGCAAAGGTGCAGCTCCAGCTGGTGGGTGGGAAAACACGATTTTCAGCTTTAACATGACAAACTTTTAGTCTTCATGTCATTCTCTTCTCTTTTATACTTCATGAACTACTTTTTTTTCCTCACCTGCCCTCTGTTTCTCCTATCATTAAATATATTGATAAACTGACAGAAACTACTCTGGGGTTTCTGCCTAAATTCTGTAATTCATTTGGTTCTTACTGATGCTGAACAGACTCTAGGCCCCAAAGCACAAATGGATAATAATCTTTTATTGGTAATAAATGATTTATGATGATTCATTTGTCCTAACTTGGAAAAATTCAACAAGAGCTACTAGATAAAGAGAGAAAGACTGTTCTAAATTTAGTCCTGCATTTTAGAGAAGTAATTTAGAGTATTTTTATCTCAGCTAAATATCCTATCCACTGATATAGATGGATGCATCTCTCCCCTTATTTCAAAAATGTGCTTCTTGTTTTATCCTGTGTTGCCAACCAAATTTATTATTTGGCCAGCCCTTGTCATCTCAAAAAGGTGTTACTAACCTTAAAAATATCAGTACTAGGAAATGTAAGTATGTGTAGCATAGCAGATGCTTTTGCTGACCAAAATGCTGTGATTTTTATACTGACAAGCTTTGAACAAGGCTGAGGTGAAACCATAACTTAATTTTTTGCGAATTTTTCTTAGTCATTCTGTATGGTCAGAAGCTAGGCTGTGGTATGGTAAATGCAGGAATGAGAGCAGAACTGGTAGTATAAAAAAATGGCTAGAAACATCAGATTTTTAATTTTTTTTCCTCTTTTCTATAGGCTTTGTTGGCATCGGAACCAAAGAAGGGCAAAACAGATTTGCTGAAAATGGCAATGAAAGAATTGATATCTCTGGCTGCACCTTTGAATGAATCTTTAAGTGTAATTCCACAGGTAAAATTCAGCCTCTCATCAAAAGGCAAATGTCAAAAGTGTGTTTATGCTATTTCAAACAGTTAAGGACAATGTGTGTTTTTAATGAGGGTGTTCTGTTCTTCCTGCCTATAGCTAGATTTTAAAATGTGTTTGCATGTGTAGAGGTTACAAAGTTACTGTAAAACATACTAAAAAATGGATTGGGCATAATTCCATAGGTTTTTCTAGTACAGCAAATGAAGTCTCATATGAGCAATTTACTGCCTAGAGTATATTTCTAAACAGATAGATAAGTAACTTCCTTTTTACAAGTTTGTAAATGAACAAGCAAGCCTTGCTTACATTTAAAGTAAATAAATGAGTTATTTATGCATGAATCATAGTAAAACACTATATGAAAACTGACTTTAGTCATACTTAGTAACTTCTAAAATATACGTACATACATTTGGAATACTAAAAAATACTTATTTTAAAGGCATGACCTTTATCTTCAAAATGTTATAATTTACTTTCTGTCTGTTTGTAAGTGCAAGCCATAATTTGTTCCCAGTACACAGAAGGATGTCCTAATCACTCTGCCAGATTTTCTGCTGGTATGAATTTATGTAGCCTTGTCAAAGTCTATGAAGCTACATGTATTACCACCTTCCCTTACAGAGGGTAGAGAAATATCAGAAAATGCTCCACATGGTGTAGAGCAAGCCTGGCTGTCAGTTTTAGCTTAATATTACCATCCTATGAGCTGTAGTTTATTTTTTCTCACAGTATCTGCAGCGTGTCAAGAATGTTGGAAAAGATGATTCTGAACTTCAAAAGTTATTTTTACAGCCATGATAAGCTAAGGATGAAAGAATGTTGGCCTTCACTTGCAATGCCTGGACTATAGTTGTTAGAGGAATATGTTTTTAAACTGTAACTACTATTAATATTGTTTACTGCAGCACTAATTTAATGCATTTTTAAGCAGCAGTATTTCATGTATTTAATATGGAAATAAAGTGCTGTAAATGTGTATATAGATTATTTTTGCTTTTCATGTTCACTGTTGTAATTACATAAATGAAATTTAAGATTTTTACTAATTAATTTATATTTTTCATATATTTCTTTTCCCACTACAGGTTCATGCTTTAAATATCCTCCGGGCACTGTATAGGGATACACGTTTAGGTGAAAACATCATGCCTTATGTTGCAGATGGAATAAAAGCATCAGTTCTAGGGTTTATGTCACCTGTCTGGGCAGTAAGTTAATTCTTTGTTTTGCTTCTCTAGTTTAACAGGATATAGAGTGGTCCTGTTCATTGAAGCTTTGGTCATGTTTATAAATGGCCCTGCCACAATTTCTGGAATGTAATATTTTAAGGTGCAGTAAAAAGTAATGTAGACCTGCAAAAAAGTAATAATTTTGGTTTTGTTTTATTTTTCTTAATGTGAACTGCTGACATCCAGAAAAAGTAGGGACAAAGATTACCTTATAGGTTAAAGCCCCTCTGGCTGTTAAATTTTGAGTCAGTGCACTTGGCTAGTAAGAAGTGTATTTGCATTCATTCTGCCTGTTACTTTGCTCTTGAATTAAAGATCCCATGTTCAGGTAGAATGCTTCATGATCTGCTGTGCTTAAGGTGAATGCTTTGAACCACTAAAAATATAGATGTATTCCTTATAATAGAGATCTCCAAAGAACCTGAACTTTCCAGTAGTACCATCTTCATTGGAAGGATGCTCTGAATTCATAGTTTCCATGTGCTGACCTGTAGCATGCTTTTCACGCAGGTGTTATTCTTTTTGTCTGTACATTAATGGATGTATTTAAAAAAAATCATACATTTCAAAGGGATTTTTCAAGCATAGTTCTTATTTTTCCTCTAGGTACGAAATTCATCTACACTTCTTTTTAGTGCTCTGATCACAAGAATTTTTGGAGTTAAAAGAGGGAAAGATGAAAATTCTAAGAAAAATAGGTAAGCTTCGTTTCATAGAAGTTAGAAGTTTGCAAAACATGACCTTAGCCAACAGCAATTTGAAAATGTTCCTTACTTTATGGATATATTTGAATCACGATGTTACAAGAACATCTAGCTCTGCTTAAACCATACTGCCAAGAAGTAAGTGATAAGGCCAAAAATATCTGTTGTAAACACAGAGTTAATTTGTACTCAGGTGCAATTTCACAGGAGTGGAATGTTGTTGGGAGGTTTTGTTACCAGTGGCTCTTCCAAAAGCCAGAGGCTCTCATGATCACAAATCAGACCTATTGCTCTTAAGGGCAAAGAGAAAGGGGGTGAAAGAGAAGAGGTACAGTGGTTACACATATGTTCATTTCCTTCTAGAGCAGGCCTGGAGGTAATTTCACCCCTACTTATTTAATTTTCCCCTTTAGTCTTCCTGCTCTAGAACACCATCATATCTCTTTCCTTCAAGCTCTAAAAATTGCAGCTTGCAGAGCCATTTCTCTTTCAAGGGATCCTAGCCTTGGAGTTTGTAGTCCTGCTTCAAATCCCTTACTATTTCACTTCATGTGAAAACAGTTCTCCTCTGACTCTTTAAAACTCCCCAGTCCTTAGCATTCCAGTTTCTTTGCACCCTCCAGTTACTGCACAAGGACCCCTGTGTTTTCTTTGGGCCTCTTCCTTTAGCTTTTTCAGCAAACGAAGCATATCCATGCCCTGTGCAGAAACTGAGGTTTCTGCTCTAGGAGGGATGTGAAAATAACCCTGGATGTAGAATAAACTCATTAAAAAATATTCCTGGGTAAACCCGTGGGGCCATAGAGTGGTCACGGTATGGATATTATGGTAACCATTTCAGAAATTCCTAATGGATTTTCACATCACAGGCAAGGCATGCAGTTTCTGAAAGAAGGCAATTGTTAAAATTTGCCTTCAGAAATTCCACCTTTTTTATAGTGGTTCCTTACTGGTGATCTGTGTAACTAATAAATTTTTCATGCATATTTTGAAAAACTAAATGTCTTGGGATGATACTGGTCTGTCATCTTTTAGGTGCTACATAGATGCCATTTTAGCTGTATGAAATAGTTGATTACAGGTGTCACTTGAAAAACTTAGTTACTGTGCATGTATGAACATGAGTAAGAAATACAGGTGGGAAACTGGAAGGAGGTTTCCCTTAGAAAATAGTCTTTCCCCAAAACAATTTGAAATGTTAGCTGCTCTACTGCATGAAATTATTCTTGTTTTGTCACATACCCAAGTCACTTCTAAATTCACTCCTGTAACCCTCCTGAAGCCCAAGCAGAGCAATAAAAACTGCTTTTCACTTCTTGCCTTCCTACTTTGGTTTTATGACAGCATTTAAAGTTGTTTTGTTTTTTTTTCTTTAATTTTTTGTATTGAACACTTACTGAAAGAGGTAGACACCCTGCTTTTTAAAAGTTGTATCTTTGGGAAAAACTTGTCACTAACTTCTGCAGTGGGGAGGCAAAGTGACTTCTCAAATGCTTCAGTGTGATGATCTGTGAAATCTGAGATTTCTGTTTGTGAAGCTGCAGAAGGTAATGCATTGAGTGTCTGTTGGAGAGGAGAGATACCAGAATGAGGGAAAGGAATCTTTTTTGTAACTGAATTAAATCTATTAATGACAATGTTAATTTTTATGTAACTGGCCCTGTTGAATTGCTTCCCTGAAACTTCATTTACAGTAATTTCTTTAGTCATTCTAGCCAAAAGATATTAAAGCTGGGCTGGCTTTATTTTCTTCATCTGTTCATTTAGCAGTTGTGCATTAAACATTGCATGAAATCCCTTCTGCTGCTTTCCATGTGTGCTTGTCAAAACTGTGACACAGGGATTAGGAAGACACTTCTAAAGACAGGTCTGTGAGATACAGGAGGTGTGAAAACAGGCAGAGATTTGATTTGTAGCTCCTGTGTCTGCAGGAGAACCCCACTGGTGGGTATAAGGTGGGCTGTGTTTAGGAAGAGGGAGGTTTGTGTTTCTGTGGTTTGGCACCACGAGGTGTCACCATTACTGCACAGCTCCCTGCAGCCTCATCCCTGGGTGCAGCTGTGTTTGGGCTTCTCTTCGGGAACTTTAAACTCAAGGAGTGTTTTGCTCAGACAGAATTCATGTATTAAATACATGTATTAAATTCATGTATTAATACTTGGTATTAAAACCAAGTATTGTTTTCCCTGCTTCCAAAGCACTTTAGCAACTTGAATCTATAGGAGCTTTTATGAATGTCACCTGGGTTTAGACTGCTTGTTCTGTTGCCTTGAGGATGTTCTGTTTACACTGAGGGACAGAATGTCCAGAGACCAACTCTCCCTTTAGGACCCTGCCTAGGTTTCCAGTTTACCTGATTTTAGATTAGGAGGTTAAATCTGTCACTTTTGTGTCAGCAGGGAGTTAGGTTATTACTGAGCTGTTCTGGGCATCTCTCTTAAAGAGGGGCCTGCTGACTGGTTTCTCAAGAAGAGTTCCTATAATACTGATAGAATTGGGGTGGTTTGTGTAGACTTTCAGAAGGAAGGTTTGCTGGAACATGAAGTATTGATGCCTCCTTTTAATTCTAGCATGGATGAAAAAGAAGATGAGTTGGAAAATTAATAGTGAAAAAATAACAGCTGTGTGCAGTCTTGCAAGTAGAGAGGAGATGTGTGAAGGCTCTTTTCAGTGGTCCAAGCAACTATCGATATTGAGCTTTTTCTTCTAGTGAAAATAAAGTTAGAACTCTTCTCTGGCTTTTCTCTTTCTCAGAAAGACTGTCAAAACTTTTAATGCTTCTGTGTGTAGGTGTATGTGTGTGTTGGCTAAATGATGTTCTGAATTTCAGAGAATTTACATTTGTAAAATGGCCCAGTTAGCACTTCCTTGTAGAGGGTTTAGTTTAGATTTTATATACTTGATTTGGCAATACAATGTTCTTAAAATGATAACTTAAAATGTACAAGACTTGGAGTGAAATTCTAGCCACATAAATTCAAAGTACTGAGGAAGGTTGGAAAGAAGTCTTTGCATTGTGCCTGTTGATATTTGGTTACAGAGAGTGTGTTCTGCACAGATACATCATGGTGTGCTTTAGAGAAAATACTCCTTGCTGTGCCTGCATCCTAACTTGCCTGGCTATGGTGGGATCAGCTGTGAGCTGATCCCCCAGCCCCACTGCTGTTCAGCACTTGAACTGTGCCCTGGAATCTGCCCTCCACCCAGGCAGTGACTCAGGAGAGGGTTCCAGCTTCCAGGCACATCCTCCTGGCTGCTCTGGCATCACAGAATGACATCAATTGGAAGAGAGCTGTAAGAACAGCTGGTTCCAAGGCCCCTGCCCTGGAAAAGGACACCTTCCACTAGACCAGATTGCTCTCCAACCTGGCCTTGAGCACTTTGGGGAACAGGACATCCATAAATTCTCTAGGCAGCCTGTTCCAATGCTTCACAGTGAAGAGTTTCTTCCTAATAGCTGATCTAATCCTGCCCTCTGTCAATTTGAAGCCATTCTCTTTTGTCCTATCCCTTACACACCCATGTAGAAAGTTCCTCTGCAGCTCTCTTGGAGGCACCACCCTGAGGGGCACATTAAAGACCCGAGTAATGTGCTTGGCTTAGTGTGAATTGATTGAATAGGACTTTGGACAGCAATGAGTTCTGTAGGCCAATGATGTTTTTTGTTAAATAGCCACTTCTCTTTTTTGTGTGCAGTCAATTTGCAATGTAGATTTGTTCATTCCATGCACTTTCAAAGGAGCTGGAATGTATTGTGTGCTTCATAGTTCCTTTTCTTTCGTGGTGGTTTCTTTTTCATCTTAGTGTTGCTACAGATTAATCATCTGAAAATTTACAGAAAATCATCTAAAATAGATTTTTGCTGTGGTTGATCATAGTTTCCAGTGTCACATAAAAATTAGAATGTCTTGATATGAAGCTATATGTATATTATGATAGTTAATGCAGACGTGAAATTCAAAATGAAAGCAACTTCTATGTACACTTAATTGAAATTAATTTTGGAATGAAATTAAATTTCTCATCATAGAGGAATTATTTTCTTTCCAAAAGAGTTGCAGTATTAATAGTGGTACTTCCATATATATATATATATGTATATGTCAGATACCTTTTTGGTCTGTAGTGCAATGCTAATTAAAGCTGTTACTGCTTGTTAGTGAACAAGACACTTGTCATCAGATATTTGATGAGACTCTTCTTATAAAATTTTTGGTATTTCAGGCTTTTTTTTTTTTTAATAATCCTCCCTAGCCCCAATCCCAAAGGATAAAATCCCAAAGGTTAAGCATGATCAGGAATTGCCTTTGAGGCAATTTACCATTTGACTTAGAACAAGCTTCAGTCTTTATGGTAATAAAAAAGGATCATTTTGGTTTATCTGAAAATGGAATTTTTTGATTTGGAATGCAAATGTTGCAGAGTCCTAAGGAAGAGTGACCAATGGCCTCAGGTATAGGCTGGCATTGAAAGAAAGAGTGGGAAGTGGGAGAGTTCCCTCTGCTTCTCACCTTGGTGGAGAAGGTTTCAAGAAGGAAAGCTTCAATTCTTTAATTAAAAACCAGGATTTTAAGTAAGGCTGAGATGGTACTGTGCAACCTGATGATTTTTATGTTTCATTACTGATGTATATATTTGCATTTTGGGAGGAGGGAAGCTCCTCTGTATTTATAATGTAGTGAAGGGATAATGCATATGCAAGAAAATTCTTTGTTGTCAATACAGATTTTCTGTGGAGTTAATACTCACAATGCCTGAAATTTGAGTATGAGTGTTGCCATGTTTGCAGTGTTGGTTTAGATCTATTTGTAAAGAAAGAAAACTTTTCTTGCCATCTACATTGTCTTTATAGCTGTCATTTATAGCTGTCAATAGATGTTAATGACTTCAAACTCTGGAAGGGGGAAACTTATGTTTTTAATTACAGTGAGATGAAAACTATGTAGATGTTAACAGGTTAAGAAGATGCCCTGCTGGCCATGAGCAGTCAGCAT